TATTAATTACTGATATAAATTTATATAACTTTTTGTAGAAAAAAAAGAAAAATTAGTACTACCTGGCCTTTATACTCAACGTGCTTGGTTTGGTAGAATCCTTTTCGAATTATCTGCAATACCAGAGTATTGAAAACTAATCAAAATTTCGAAATGAGACTGAAATTGATCAAATTGAAGAAGAAAATTGAAGTATTGAATTTGATTTTACCTCTCCAGCTTGCTTTGCAGCATCTACAGCAATGGCGAGGAACTGTTGGAGTGAATCTAAAATCACAAGAATTGAATCGGACAACAAATTATTCAATTAAAGAATTAATATCATATAATCTCTCAGGCACACAAATACACACACAACACAATATATGTGCGTATATATATATTCTCAGGGTGAGAGATTAATGGGGTCATCCTACCATTTTCTGCCATTCTTTTAGTTCTGCTATGAGAAGAGAGAGTGAGAGATAATATATATACTGGTTTTGCTTGCCACAAAAAGGTTCACTCATCATTACACCTATTAGAAGCTTTGCCCAGTTGACATAAAAATTCAATGGAAAGAATCGTGCCACGAAAGTAAACTTGAGCCGCCAATCTTTTTTGTGTTTTTTTTCTTTCCATGGAAAGAATCGTGCCACGAATCTTTTTTGTTTTTTTTCTTTAACGGGAAAGATGATGGTGCCACGAAAATAGAGATGGAGGCGATTGGGAGGCTGAAATGATTTGCCCTAACCAATTTTGTTTTTGCCCCCGTTACAGTGCAAAGTGGGCCGGTCATTCTGTGGAACACTTTAGAGCACTTTTTTTTTTTGTTCCAACATTTGGCCCAAATTTTGAAAGTGTTCTGACACTGTTTAAACCAACAGAGTCTATGCCAAATATGTTTTGGGCTTCAATAGTGCTCAATAGTGTTACTGTAGCACTATTGGGAACAAAACAGAACAGAACATAACATCCACCAAACATGGCTAAATCTTAGCTTATTATATGTTAACATTTAAGACAATTAATTTTTCTAATTTTTTTTTTTTTGTAATTTATTCAAAATTTATAAAATGTATTTAAACTTTTTTTTTTTTTTTTGTTTAAGAGTAATTTAATCTAAAACTAATTCAAGATCATATTAAATTTTTTGTTTAAATATTAGTTATATAAGTAACTTGAATTTATCCTAATTTTTAACATAAAATTTGAACCCGAGTTATAAGCCCGAATTTAAAAGTAGAAGGATGGGTTGGGTTCGGGTTGAATAATTAGGGTTGAAGAATGGGTTAGGTTCAGGTTGAATAATTAGGGTTGAAGGTAGGGTTGGATTGGGCTTGGGTTTGGCATTTCATACGGTGGATTGAGCTCAAGTTATACTTCAAACTCGCTCAACCCGACTGAGTTGCAGCCCTAAGTAAACTTGAGCCGTCAAAAAAAAAAAAAAAACAGAGTAAGTTGTGTTTAGAATAATATTTCGTTATAATTTTTTTTTTTTTTTTTTTTTTTTCAGAAGTTGCATAATATTTCTTTACATTTCATAAGCAAGACTCAAGTGAAAAGAAAATTTTATTTTCTATTTTATTTTTCTTCCTGTTGCTCTTATAATTGTTGCGGTTCACATTTCGGGTAAAAATTATTTATTATAAATTCTTGATGTCAAGATGCAATAAATTTTGAAGACACAATTAAAGAAAGAAGTGAAACATCTATATGTAAAATCAGTCTTCGCCATCATATTTATAAAGAATTAAAAATTGAATATCTAAAAGACTCACTTATTTTGTAGTAAATTTTGAATTAGGGATTTAGTCATTGAAAGATTGTAATGTTCCCAAAAGCTCGGGCCAATATAATTATATAATTCAATCTTATTTAAAATCATCCCTCACTTGAAATTATGCGGAGAGAAAATTAGTAATGAAGTCATGTTGGAGAAAAAAAAAAAACATAATCCACATTTCATGCCTTAAATATGTTTTTACAACAGCAATATCGAAAGCGTAAATTTATAAAATATTCAGAGGTTATATCATGTTTACTTGTGGGAGCAAAAAAACGAGTTTTTGTTGAGAAACCATCAATCCTATTCAACCGGATCGTCACCATTACATGAAGCAAATGCTGCCTCATTCCACGATCTTGAACATGGACATTGTCGTGTGCATGGACCACCCCAAGTGAAACAAAAATAAGCAAAGGGGAAAGATTTGTCTCCCAAAACACATGAAAATGTTTATTATTGGTGTGGAATAAAAGGACATTCGCTACATGTTTGTCATGCGCCTAAGGATGATATTTACCGAGCCTTAATATAAAAAGAAAAAGAAAACTAAAAGAAGAAGAAGAAGAAGAAGAAGAAGAAGAAAAGCGGATTAAAATGATTTTAAAATGATTAAAATGAACCAATGGACAATACTTATACTGATGTCTTAGATTTTTTTGTGGAATCTAATGGCAAAATTGTTCGCTTAATTGGTGATGAAAATAGCCATACCAATTAATTTTATTTTCTTTTTATCATATTATCTCTAATATGTTATTTTCAGCATACTTTAATCTCTTTGTATTTTTAATAAACTAACTATGAATTTTATATATGTGAATAGACATGGATATAACTAATGCAATTACTAATTTCAAGATGAATTGTAAAGATATATGTCTTGTAGATTGTGAAATGACACACACAATGAAATAGTTTATTAACTTTCATTCCACTTTCATAACAAGATTAAAAATTATTTGAGCTATTTTCAATTTTATTCTGCTGTGCATATGGGGGTGAAAGAATAAGAAAAAATCATGAAGATAGAAGAAGAAATGCTACTGATTTAGCTTCATCTGTTTAGATACTCTTCCATGCTCGAGTTTGAATATTAATGATTTAGAGTCAATTTTTAGTTGAGTCAATTATCAGCAAAAAGTGGAGTAAATAATCAGACTTAGAGTTAGTAAAAAAAAAATGAAGTAAATGAGTTAGAGTCAACACTCAACATTCAAATTTGTGCGATTTTTGTTTAGCAACAAAATATGACCCAGGTAGCATCATTGAATTTAAGAGTAATGCTATTGTGAAAGTCCTCACATGTTCTTCATGTCTAACCAATAAATTGAAAATTTTATTAAATAACTCGTTTGACTTTTCATATATCTCAAAAGACTATCTCAATCTGGTGATTAAATAAAGAGAGCTCGTATATCTTGTCATGATATGGCTCTCGTAATATCATTACTTTATCTTAAATTTAACAAAAATAACTCATCAGAGAGTGCAAACAACCTACTTGCAATAACTTTAAAAAGAAGAGAAGTTAGCATCTAATAAGAATAGCAACTGCATTTGCACAATCGCATATAGACTTGGGTAACGATACATTTTCAGAATTCGATTAAGAGGAGATTAAATAATTATTGTGTAAATAAGATAGTGGGTCTCACTACATAATGTTAGGTGACACCTGTTTGAAACTAGCCACTAAAAACAGCTGTCCACAATTACTAAGAAAGCCCATGGCCTCATACTACCCCTGCACAATTTAGCAGCTAACTAAGTGCATTAGCGATCACAATAGATAAAATGAAATTATTCGGTCTATTCTTTATATTTTCAAGTATTCCAATCAATCCATTTTTTTGCGAATCAAGATATAAGAATGACTATGCTAGTCACACATATTTATAAAAATTAGGTCACCAAAAGAAATAAGAAGCCCAGGGGACTAAAGTAGCCCAAAACTTACAACAGGCCTAATGAAGTCTGATTATTGGGCTAGAAAAAATAGGAAGCCCAGGGGACTAAAAATAATTGTCTTTATTAAATAGTTTTCGCTCTTTGCGTATCAAACTTTCCGTCTATATGTTGGTAATTTATGCAGACATTTAATTGTTTTGGTGAATTATGAGACATTTTAAGAGGCTGCACTATTATTATAAATATATATATATATATATATATATTAAAATAAAATTACAAGCTTAACCTTTGTAACTGAATAAAAATTATTATTTTCTTTTGCATTATGCAATCCATGTGGACATGTCTATGATGCATACAAGACGTGGCTTTTGCGATTTGCTGCTACTATGTTTGTCATTGCGATTTGCTGCTACTATTTAATAGGAAGCGCATGGGGACTAAAAATAATTGTCTTTATTAAATAGTTTTTGCTTTTTGAGTATCAAACTTTCCGTCTATATGTTCGTAATTTATGCAGACCCGATAATTGTTTTGGCGAATTATAAGGCATTTTAAGAGGCTTGACGCTACTATCATAAAAAATAATAATAAAAAAAATAAAATTACAAGCTTAACCTTTGTAACTGAATAAAAATTATTTTCTTTTGCATTATGCAATCCATGCGGACATGTCTAGGATGCATACAAGACCTGGCTTTTGCGATTTGCTGCTACCATGTTTGTCATTGTGAATTTTTTTTTTTTTCTTTCCTTTATTTTTTTTTTTTGTAATATATTCTGCAAACTTAACTATCAATTTCTTCAAGCTAGTCTTTATTATTATTATTATTATTATTATTATTATTTATTAGCAGGTCCATTGTATGCCTTGACAGCGACTCACCAACAATATCTAATACGACAATTCACTAACAATTTATCACAATTAATTCGAATTTCACCACCATTACTTCAAAATAAAAATGAGAGACCTGAAACTTATCATCACTGTGAAAATTGAAATGCAAAACGTCATCGTTTTGATAAGTGCGTAATGTGCCACATTTTGTGCGAATATTCAATCTACACATTAGAATATTACACTCGAGAGAATTTTGATCACATAGCTTGAAGGCATTTCCATTCATAAGTACTTGCTTAAATACCATGTGGTAGTTTTAGACAGCACAACCAATGAATTCTATTCATATAAAGAGAGTCTAATATTGAGACTGCTTAAATACTTGCAAGAAATAATGAAGTATGAGGTATGATATGGATTTATATTCATGATTAATTGGACTGCTTTGATTGATTATATGAAAAACACTTCAATATATGCTTTTACACTTCACTATGGAGTACTCTTTACATTTAGCACTATTATTTGCAGAAGTTGTAAGTTACAGAATTCAAGGAAAATGACTTCAAAGGATACTCAAAGATGGTGGGAGCAACAATAGGAGCCGTCGCCTAAGGCCCCGCCAATAAAAAGTCCATCTCACTACATATTTTCTTTCTTTCTTCATATAAATATTTTTTAAAATTCTTCAAATGCTGCTCATAAATAGACATATCGGAAAAGTACATTCAACAATGGGAGAAAATTTAAATCATACAAAGACTATCCTTTCATACTTATCTTCTCTTGTAGATAGTTTTCTTATTCTGATTGCCGCAATGCCTCAATGAATGCATCCTTGAGATTAGGGTTTGATGCTGCTACTCGCTGAGACGTAATGTCAAAATCTTTACCAGACCTGAAAAAAAACATAAATCACAATTTTGATAACAAATATCTAACAAACAATTTACTAGACCTGACAAAAAAGAAACGCAAGTCCCAATTTAGACATAACAAAGACATAATCTGTGTTCATATACTTTTATTGTTAAATGGAACACTGATGCTGCAGCCAACAGTTTTGCAGTTCAACGATCAAGTTGACTTCCATAACTGAAAATCCATTTAACTTGGCTCCTTTCTAAGGTAAAGACTAATTGACTGTGCCACAGGGTATATTAGATAGGTTCTATTTTCTGGTAATCTTCATGTCCCTTTTGGCGAACTTGGAGCGACATAAAAAGGTGTTTTACCCGTAAAAATTCATTACTTAGTGAACACTTACGGATCGAACACAACTCCTCCAGCTTCTTTAACAATCACAGCGCCCCCTGCCACATCCCTGAGCAGATGAGAAAATTGTGTCTATCACACATCACATCAAACTTCACTGAATTAAGAAAAAACAACTCTATACCAGGGTCCCCCAAATCCAAATAGGTAGAACAGGTCAACCCTTCCACATGCAATCCCACAGAGATCCAATGCACAGGAGCCACTCATCCGAAGGGATCTCACCTGATAACATAAAAATTTGATACTATTAGTCATGGGTTGCCAAAACTTCTGTACTGAAACTCAATGGCTTTTGCAGCTAGTCCTGGTATTACCTTGAAAAGCAAGCTATTAATTCTATTGGTAATAGCATCCACAGTTGACTTATCACGCTTTGTTCCAGCCTGCTCTCTCAATCAGATAAAAACCTAATTAGCTTTGTCAAATGCAATACTAAAATGTGTGAAGTAATTTTGAAGAACTGCAGCATATGAAACTGCAATACAGTCATCAGCTGCTTGAAGCTATTTTTCAGGTGTTAAAAGGTTCATATGACATATAGATATAATGCTTGAAGCTAGTTTTTCTACTAACAGATGGGAAATCGGAAAATGAATGAAGTAGAAAGAAATTGACATTAGTATAGGTTCCTATTGGCATGTGTAAAGATGATGTATTTGGAAAGTTGAATTACAACATGCATTTTGCAAGAAATATGCCATTAGAAGTTCACTTTGTTCATTGATCACAGTGGCCAGATAACAGTAACTGCAACGAATATATATATATATATTTTTTCATATAGATACTACTACAGTTTTCTATATTGAAGCAACCGATAAAATTTTGATTTTGTGCTAAGAATCAAAGTAGCCATATTATGGAAACCAGTATCGGTTCCACTTGTTCGTTTGAATGAAGTGTTTCACAAGTTGAACCATTGCAACAGTTTGCCAATAATATGCAATTTTATACATTTTTGGAAGTTCACATGGACATACTTGCTAGTAAACATAGGAGCTGATGCCGAAGACTATAAAGCTTCTGTTTTCTTTTTGTGGTTTCATCTAATTTTTTCCTTTTAGTTTAGGTCCTTTTCTTTTATTAATTTTTTTTTTTAATTACAGATCACCTTCAATGCAACAGTAACTGCTGAAAAAGAAACCTAGATACAACTGGTATATTAAAAAAAAAAAAATAGTGAAAGAGAGGTATTTAGCAATTACAACAAAAATTTAACCACAGTGCCATCAATTATATAAGATGTCCAAGTACCTCAGTAACAAGGAGGGACTTCACAAGCTCAGATTGAGAAGATACTGCAAAATTTCAAACACAGCATGGCCATAAGAAATTCATGGGCCGGCATTAAAGCCCAATCAAAGATCAGGGAGACTAACTGATCAAGAAAATTAACGCACCTTTGATGGGTGTCCCATTCAGAAAAGCACCTTTCCCATGAATGCCAGTGAAAAGCTACATTAAATGAGCAGTCATACTTACTAAATAACAATAACAGATTTCATTTTCAACATAATGATCTTACAGAATCCTTAGCCTCCAACGAACTAATGTCTGTTCCGGATATGGGGAAGTACAGAAGAGAAAAAACAAGTAATCATTTGATGAATGAGAATGGAAGTACACAATGAGACTGATTAAGCACTTCATCAAATCAGGAATATAGATCAAGGAACCCTGTTCTGTGCATTATCAGAATGCTCCCAGTACAATTAAGCTAGCAGGACAAAGTAATCATTTAGGCATAACAAGAAGATAGGGATCAAACTCAAAGTATACCTGGAGACTACGAACACAAACTATCAATCAATATGAGATGATAATCCATAAATGATCTATTTTACTTTCTTTCCATTTAAATTTACACAAAGCAGCAGTAGATTTTAAGGATTGAATATCCAGTGTGCATACTTGGAGATTTTAAGGATTGAATATTCTTACCTCATCCATAATTGGATTGTAAACAACACCAACTGTTGGAACCTTCCCAATTGTAAGACCAACAGAGACACACACAAAGGGGAATCTGAAATCATCATGTTGTGGCACTAAAATCAATTGAAGAGACTAATGTATAATCATTAACGAATCTCCACATAATACAAATCTGAAGTCAGAATTTGGTAATTACCCATGCACAAAGTTAGTTGTGCCATCAAGAGGATCAACTATCCATGTCGGTTCATCAGTCAGCTCTGTAACTCCACAAGCAGCGGTGGTTTCTTCTCCAATGAACTACAATAAACGGATATTGAAACGAAACAAGCTTTTGACAATAATAAGAAATAGCACACGGAGCACTGACTTCAAAATTTCAACTCAAGTTTAGAGTAATTTAGATCAAATGAGGTCCAACCTTATGGTTTGGGAAATGCTGCTTGAGATAATTGAATATGAGATCTTCACACGCCTTATCAGTTTCCGTGACTAAATCCACCTGTAGAAATAGAGATAGACCAGAAAAAGTATTATATGTTACAAATTGTATTATGCACATAAAAAATAATGATAATAATTCTTACATTTAGCTCCACTTCTTGAATTATTAATATATATATTTTTCCATACGTCACTATGTTCATAAATGTTCTTTGCGAGTTCTCTTTCTTCGGCCTTTAGAAACTTTTGTACTGTAATTAGGTCTGAAGCACTCATGTGTTATCTTTGAATAAGCAAACAATCTTTCTCAACTCTTCATGTATTATATCTACTATGGGCGTTCCTCCAATATTTTCTTTCACCAATTTATTTCTGTCAAATTTAACATTTTTTTTCTTGTATTCTCGTATGCCAATTCATCTCCCCCTTTTCCACTCCAAGTTCTAAAATTTCACCCACTCTCAACTTAAACATTCTCAAAAAAGTGGTTTAATTTCTGAACATTTCATCATTTGATTTACCATCATGATGCAAAATAGCTAAGGATTAACCTTGCTGATTAATAGCACATTTTTCACTTCTAATTTCTGCTAGAATAAGCACATGATCTATAAAACTCCTTGCGAGCAATTCAATTTCATCCTCTCAGATTCTAGTATCCCCTGTGTGAATATTCTAGTAAGTTCGAAAACCTAAATTGACCATCTACAGATTCTCCAATTATCAATGAAGCCAATACTTCACTCATGTGGATTTTTATAACAAAATCACCACTGTATCGGCCTCCGAACCAATTTTCATGTGGATGTTTATAACAAAATCTCCACTGTTTCAGCCTCCGAACAAATTTAACATCTCATACCACATATCACAACAATTTCCCTTTAAAGTCCATTTTACTTTGCAAACCGAAATCAGATAGAACATAAAAATTTAACTGAAACAAATACCTTTACATAAACATGCATTTTTTTTATTATTTACTGATATAAATTTATATAACTTTTCGTAGAAAAATAGAAAAATTAGTCCTACCTGCCCTTTATGCTCAACGTGCTTGGTTTGGTAGAATCCTTTTCGAATTATCTGCAATACCAGAGTTTTGAAAACTAATCAAAATTTCGAAATGAGACTGAAATTGATCAAATTGAAGAAGAAAATTGAAGTATTGAATTTGATTTTACCTCTCCGGCTTGCTTTGCAGCATCTATAGCAATGGCGAGGAAGTGTGGGATTGAATCTAAAATCACAAGAATTGAAACGGACAACAAATTATTCAATTAAAGAATTTATATCATATAATCTCTCAGGCACACAAATACACACAAACACAATATATGTGCGTATATATATATATTATCAGGGTGAGAGATTAATGGGGTCCTACCATTTTCTGCCATTCTTTTAGTTCTGCGATGAGAAGAGAGAGCGAAAGATAATATATATACTGATTACACTGCACATGAAACACAATATAAAATGTTAACCAATGTTATATATATAACATTGTTGTATATGTATATATATATATATATATACAGGTGGGGTTTTTAATCAATAGAAAAAAGGTTCACTCATGATTACTCCTATTAGAAACTTTGCCCATATGACATATAAATTCAATGGAAATAATAAAGGATCGTAGCACGCACCGAAATCAAACCTGACAGTAAACTTGAGCCGTCAATTTTTTTTTTTTTTTTTTTTTTTTTTTTTATCAGAATATTTCTTTACATTTCATAAGCACGAGTCTGTTATGGTTTGTTTGTCGCAAATAATAATAATAATAATAATAAGCAAGACTCCAAGTGAAAAGAAAATTATATTTTCAATTTTATTTTTTTTCCAATGTTGCCCTTGTATTTGTTGCGATTCACATTTGGGGTAAAAATTATTTATTATGGATTCTTGAAGAAGGAAGTGAAACATCAATGTAAAATCAATCTTCGCCATCATATTTATAAAGAATTAAAAATTAAATATCTCACGGCCAAAGACTCATTTATTTTGTAGTAAATTTTGAATTAGAGATTTAGTCATTGAAAAATTGTAATGTTCCCAAAAGCTCATGGCCAATATAATTCAATCTTATTTAAAATCAACTCTCATTTGAAATTACCAGAGAATTAGTGATGATGACATGTTGGAGAAAGAAAAAAATAAAAAAAATAAAAGTACTCCACTTCTTAAGTCTCAAATATGTTTTTACAGTAGCAATACCGAGAGCGTAAATTTATAAAATATTCAAAAAATTTATCATATTTACATGTGGGGAGTAAAATAACAAACTTTTGTTGAGGAATCGCCAATCCTATTCAACCAGATCGCTACCATTACATGAAGCAAATGCTGCCTCATTTCGTGATCTTGGACGTGGACATTGTTGCGTGCATGGATGTGGTAGAAATAACTATCATCACCATAGTAATAGTTACTCAAATTTTCAAAATAAGAATTTCAAATCATACCCTCAGAAGTGAAACAAAAAAGAGATAAAATAAGTAAAAGGAAAGGGTTTGTCCCCCCAAAACACATGAAAATACTTATTATTGGTGTGGGAAAAGACATTCGCTACATGTTTGTCATGTGCTTAAAGTTGATATTTACCGAGCCTTAATGAAGGAAAAAAGAAAAAGAAAAAAGATGGATAAATATCCAAATTATGGAAACTACATAATGAAATAAATCAAGCCCCAAAATACTCTTTTCTATTATGATGTAAATCATTTTAATATATATACACACACACCAGTAAAGGTGAGACGAATATGCAACATTGAGAAGAACATAAATCTTTCTTTTCTATTTATTTTACTGATTATAATGAACTAATGGACAAAACTTATATTGATGTCTTTGATTTTTTTGTGGAGCCTAATGGCAAAATTGATCGCTTAATTGGCGATGAAAATAGTCACACCGATTAATTTTATTTTCTTTTTATCATATTATCTTTAATATGTTATTTTCAGTATACTACTTTCTTTATTTTTTTAATAAACTCTAACTATGAATTTTACATATGTGAATAAGCATGGATTACACTAATACAATGACTAATTCCAAGATGAATTGTAAAGATATATGTTTTGTAGATTGTGGAACGACACTTACAATGAATGATTTATTAACTTTCATTCTACTTTCGTAACGAGGTTAAAAATTATTTGAACTATTTTCAAATATATTCCGCTATGCATTTGGGGGGTGAAAGAATCAGAAAAATTCATGAAGATAGAAGAAGAAATGATGCTGATTTAGCTTCATCTGTTTAGATACTCTTCCATGCTTGAGTTTGAATATTAATGATTTAGAGTCAATTTTTAGTTGAGTTGTCAATTTTTTTAGTTGATTTTTCTCTCTGTTTTTTTTTTTTTGAGAGTTCTGTAGAAAAAAGGTTCACTTATGATTACTCCTATTAGAAACTTTGCCCAGATGAATGGAAAGAATAAAGAATCGAGGCACGCACCGAAATCAAACCTGACAGTAAACTTGAGCCGTCAATTTTTTATTTATTTATTTTTTTTCGGAAGTTGCATAATATTTCTTTACATTTCATAAGCAACTCTGTTATGGTTTGTTTGTTGCAAATAATAATAATAATAAAATAAGCAAGACTCCAATGAAATATGTCTTATAGATTGTGGAACGACACTCACAACGAATGATTTATTAACTTTCATTCCACTTTCGTAACGAGGTTAAAAATTGTTTGAACTATTTTTAATTTTAATTCGCTGTGCATTTTGGGGTGAAAGAATCAGAAAAATTCACGAAGATAGAAGAAGAAATGATGCTGATTTAGCTTCATCTGTTTAGATACTCTTCCATGCTTGAGTTTGAATATTAATGATTTAGAGTCAATTTTTAGTTGAGTTGTCAATTTTTTTAGTTGATTTTTTTCTCTTTTATTTTTGGTTCCCTTTCATTTGCTTTCATATTAATGGTTTTTTTTTTTTTTCCTTCTTTGTTTAGCTTTTGAGAGTTCTGTTACTCTCAGCCTTGACGTACTTTATTGTTTTATTTTATATAAAATTTTACACATTTAGGAAAAAAAAAAAAAAAAGTAGAGTAAATAATCAGATTTAGAGTTAGTAAAAAATATTGAAGTGAAATGAGTTAGAGTCAACCCTCAACATTCAGATTTGTGTGGATTTTGTTTAGCAACAAAATATGATTAAGGTAACATCATTGAATTTAAAAGTTCTACTGTGAATAGAGTCATGATATGCTCTTCATCTTTAATCAATGAATTGAAAATTTTATTAAATAACTCGTTTGACTTTTCATACATCTCAAAAGACAGTCTCAATCTAATGATTAAATAAAAAGAACTCGTATATCTTGTCATGATAGGTCTTTCATAAGAGTATTACTTTAACTTTAATTTAACAAAAATAACCCATCGGAGAGTACAAATAACTAACTTGCAATAACTTTAAAAAGAAGAGAAGTCGGCATCCAATAAGAACAGTGGCTACATAACACAATCACATATAGACTTGAGTCACATTTTCAGAAATCGGTTCAAAGGAGACCAAATGATTTTTGTGTAAGTAGGACCGTGAATCTCACCAAATTATGTTAGGTGACTTTAACAAACATTCCTCGTATAGACTTTTTGTCATTGATTGGTAAGAATTACTACCGAAATAAACACACTTACTGAGAAAGCCCATAGCCTCATGCTAACCTGCACAATTTAGGGTAGCTAAGTACTTTAGCGATCACAATAGATAAAAATGAACTTATTCGGTCTATTCTCTATGTCTTCATGTATTTCAATCAACCCATTTTTTTTTTCGGATCTATTGCTAGTCACATATATGTATAAAAATTACATCACAAAAAGGATAGCCCAAAACATACAATAGGCCCAATGAAGTCTGATCATTGGGCAAGCAAAAATAGGAAGCCCAGGGGACTAAAAATAAATTGTGATTATTCTGCCAGCTATTACATATGGGTGCCTAGAATCAAATAGTTTTTGCTCTTCGACAATAAAATTTTCTGTGTATATGTTGGTTATTTATGCAGACCCGTTAACCGTTTTGGTGGATTATCAGGCATTTTAAGAAGTCCGTCACCACTATCATTTAAAAAAAATTAAAATAAAAATTACAAAGTTAACCTTTGTAACTAAATAAAAATTATTAAAAATTACAAGGTTAACCTTTGTAACTGAATAAAAATTATTTTCTTTTGCATTATGCAACCCATGTGGACTTGTCCATGATGCATACAAGACGTGGCTTTTGCGATTTGCTGCTATTATGTTTGTCATTGTGAGCACTTTTTTTTTTTCTTCTTTTTTCTTTTTTGTAAAATATTCTGCAAGCTTAACTATCAATTTCTTAAAGCAAGTCTTTTTTATTACTTAGCAGGTCTGTTGTATCATATCTGTGCCTTAACAGCGACTAGACCTGGCTTTTGCGATTTGCTGCTACTATGTTTGTCATTGTGAAATTTTTTTACTTTCTTTCTTTTCTTTCTTTTTCCCCTTTTTTTTTTTGTTTGTAAAATGTTCTGCAAGCTTTACTATCAATTTCTTCAAGCTAGTCTTTTATTATTATTATTATTATTGTTATTTATTAGCAGGTCCGTCGTATCATATATGTGCCTTGACAGCTACTCACCAACAATATCTAATACGACAATTACAGTTTTATCACAATTAATTCGAATTTCACCACCATTACTTCGAAATAAAAATGAGAGACCTGAAATTCCTCGTTTTGATAAGTGGGTAACGTGAAACATTTTGTGCGGATATTCAATTTACACCAAAGAATATTACAGCGGAGAGAATTTTGATCACATAGCTTGAAGGCATTTCCATTCATAAGTACTTGCTTGAATATCATGTGGTAGTTTTAGACAGCACAGCCAATGAATTCTATCAATATAAAGAGAGTCTAATATTGAGACTGCTTAAATACTTGCAAGAAATAATGAAGTATGAGGTATGATATGGATTTATATTCATGATTAATTGGACTGCATTGATTGATTATATGAAAAACACTTCAATATATGCTTTTACACTTCACTATGGAGTACTCTTTACATTTAGCACTATTATTTGCAGAAGTTGTAAGTTATAGAATTCAAGGAAAATGGCTTCAAAGGATACTCAAAGATGGTGGGAGCAACAAATAGGAGCCTACAGGGATAAATTTTCATTACAATTCAGCTATGGTAATTACAGACTCAGATGAGGCCGTCGCCTAAGGCCCCGCCAATAAAAAGTCCATCTCACTACATATTTTCTTTCTTACTTCATATAAATATTTTTTAAAATTCTTCAAATGCTGCTCATAAATAGACGGAAAAGTACATTCAACAATGGGAGAAAATTTAAATCATACTAAGACTATCCTCTCATACTCATCTTCTCTTGTGGATAGTTTTCTTATTCTGATTGCCGCAATGCCTCAATGAATGCATCCTTGAGATTAGGGTTTGATGCTGCTACTCGCTGAGACGTAATGTCAAAATCTTTACCAGACCTGAAAAAAGCACATAAATCACAATTTTGATAAGTAAAATCTTATAAACAATTTACTACAC